CAAGCTAAGCTCTGTGCTGTCCCTTGTGCCTTTCAGCTGTGACCTGTCCTGCCTTGGAAATGCCCATCCACGGGGCTGTGAACTGCTCCCATCCCTCCGTGCAGCTCACCTGGGGAACCACCTGTGAGTTCACCTGTGAGGAAGGATTTACCCTGACAGGACCAGCCACACTGCAATGTGGCTCCTCAGGGGCCTGGGACAGGCAGCAGCCAACGTGTGCAGGTAACTCCCTTATCCCTGCTCACCTGAGCCCTCAGGGCTGCCAGCAGTGCCTGGTGCTGTCCCAAAGCCCCTGTGCTGATCGCTGTCGTGCTCCTTGTGCTGCAGCTGTGAGGTGTGAGGCTGTCCCGCGGCCAGCAGAAGGCTCTGTGAGCTGTGACCACGCTCCTGCAGAGCTCACCTCTGGCTCACGCTGTGATTTCCAGTGCGATGAGGGATATGTCCTGGAGGGCTCGCCCAGCACTGAGTGCACGGCACAGGGACAGTGGTCCGAGCCAGTGCCCAAATGCAAAGGTAAGACTGTTGGAAATTGCAGTTTTCTGGTCACTGGAGAACACACAGAAATCCATATTCCTACAGGGCCCTGGCTCCAAACTAAATGCTGTGCTCCCATGTTTTCTACTGTGCCTCGGAATGCCTGCACATGACTCTGAGCAGCTCCCATCCCAAAGTCCAATGAATTTGAAAATAAATTGTACATCTACTAGTGCAAAAAATTGGGCCAAAGACAGGAAAGTCCTTAGTTGTTCCAATTGTGTTCTTTTGCCAAAAAATTATATGGATGCAAAATGTGGAAAAATATATAGAAATTTCACTATTTGTTTGCTTGGAACTTCTTGCTTTTTTTTTTCTTGCATTCTTCACTGCTCTGCAGCAGGAATGACCATATCTTTTTGTGTTTCAGTCATACAGTGTCAACCACTGAGCTCTCCTGAGAAAGGCTCCATGGATTGCTCCCACAGGGCTGGGATGTTCACCTACAACACCTCCTGCCACTTCAGCTGCCTTGAAGGATGGAGTCTCAATGGCTCTCGTGTTCTCGAGTGCAGCCATTCAGGAAACTGGAGTGCCAGCCTGCCCACATGTGAAGGTATTTTGCCTGTGAGCAGCCACAGAGAGGTGGCCCTGTACTTTTAGTCAGATGACGCGTGGAAGTAGTGGTGGTAATAGCAACCAGTGAGCTAGAACATGTAGTAAAGTCCATATATTCAAAAGCCCAATGAAATCACTCATTATGCTTGAAAATAGAGGAGGAAAATCCTAAAATATCTTTGTGGGAAATGCTGATTTCTTTTATATATATATATATATATATATGAAAACCCTGAAACCAGATTTCAGTTCTTTCTGTTTGGTTTTTAAACAAAATATTTCTCACAATGAGCTTGTGAATAGAGACAAAAAACCTTTCTCAAGAAACAGAACCTTGCAGGAAAATCTGCACTCATAAGACTGTTTCTCAGTGGAAAATGTTATAGTTTTTTTGATTTGGTGTGATAGTTACTTGGATGAACTCCTCAGCCAAAAAGCCTCAAAGAGCTTTTCTCTCAGATATTGTAATTTCAAAGGACAGAAAGCTCAGCCTTGCCTTCTCATTCAAGGCACTCTCTGTCCTCAGCTGGAGCACTCCTGGCCTGCCTGGAATGCTTTTGCTTGAGGTCCTAAAAGCTCAGTTCCACTTTAGTTTGCTTGAACAGAATTTGGATCCTTGAATAATTTTAATTGATCTCAGCAGAATTGCTCGAAGAGGAAGATAGCACACAGGGAGTTAAAATATGCACTGCAACAGGAAAAATAAGAGGAGCACAAATTGCTATGCAAGGCTGGAGGTTAGAGACAGACCCTGGTGTAAGGAGCTTCTTGCCTTGCCATTACTTTGGCAATGGATGGGGTAATTTTTAGTATTCAGCTTTTTACCTTGTGTACCTGTCCTGTTTCATCAAGAGAAAACTTAAGTGTTACAAGCTGCATGTCTGGTTCATCTTGAAGAGGAAAGGGAAGAAGAGAAAGCTTCAAAGACCACCTGTGCCCCTTGATCTCACTGAAATCTTTTCATCCTTTCAGCCTCTGACCAAGCCAGCTACATCTCTGTGGGCATAGCAGCCACTTCTGCCTCTCTGCTGTCCTCAGCATCATTCCTCCTTTGGCTTGCAAGGCGCTTCCGGAGAAAAGGTGAGCACTTGCTCTGGCTCCACTGCTTTATTTATCTTCCTGAAAAAATTTCAGTGGTGGAAACAAAAAAAAACAAAAACCCAAAAACAAAACAAACCCTCCCCCAAACAAAAACAAAACCCCAAAAACCAAAAAACAAACAAAACCCAAACCAAACCAAAACAACAAAAAAACAAAAACAAAAACAACAACAAAAAGAAAAAGAAAAAGAAAAACCCAAAAAAACCAAAAGAAACAAACAACCCCAAAAATCCCCAAAACCTCCAAAGTGATATACCTTGATTTTTGAAAAAGTGGCAATCCTCACACCTAGATGAATTCCAAAATTATTTTCAAGAACCCTCCATATGTGTATGCCATATGTGGCTTTTGGATGAACATCTGAAAAAGGAAAAGAATAGTAAAACCCAAATATTTAGACAACAAGAATTAGGGTTTTTTCTTGAAATACTAATACCTTTTCTTATTCTTCTTGCAGCAAAGAAGTTTATTCCTTTCAGGTAAGTTGTGTCTCAAAAAGCAACATGAAAAAACACTGCCATCAGTTTGCTAAAATCCATTTGATAAAAGCATGTTGTCACTAAAGTACTTTTCACTTTTTGTTTTATAGGAACTGGCAGGAAACAGCCAGTGAAGGTAGTTTCCAAAGTGCTGGCGAGAATGTCTAACTCAGGTGTTTCAGGTAAGCACAGGTGATGGCTTCACAAATTCTCTTCCTTTTAATCACACAAGCAATCAATCAGAGCTGCTAATTGCTGTACAGTTGCTGACACAGCAATATGTGCTTTGGGACACCTAATATGCATCTTGGCATTGCATGGAAGTTCCTAACAAGACTGATGGATTTACTGCTGTAGAAATGGTTGTTCAGCTCCTGAAGGATGATTGTACTTAGCATTCTGTCCAGCTGCAAATGGTATTAGGAACCCTTTTGTGCAGTTCTGCTACCTGCTGCATACAAAATTCCTCTGAGATGAGAGCAAATAAAAATCTCTGCCAGTTTTCTGATTTATGGACGAATTTTATTCTCTCCACAGGAATTGCAGCCACTTTCACTTACATCTCAGATTTCTGGAGAATGAAACTGCCTGCAAATCAGCAGCTGTCCAGATGTTTTTACCTCTTGCTGACAAGATGATTGACCTTGTGTATGATTCAGAAATCTTGAACTCAAGCTGTCTGGTATTTCCATTGAAGACAAACACAAAACTCTGGCCTTGTGGCCAAATCCTGCCTACATTCAGCCATGTAGTTATCCTAAACTGGGAGCTTGCCACCTCCTGTCCAGGTGGTGAGTAAACAGTGCACTGCTGCCTAAAGAGGAGGCTGGTTCCTCCTCTGCTCCACTCGAAGGTACCAAGGTGAGGTGAAGACATGCATTATTTCACATCACTTACTACACTGCTGGAGGTGTCTCCTCTGGCGTCACAGGGGTTATGCTTGCAGAAAAAGAAGAATCAGGAGGAAAAAATATTCACTGAACAGCTTTGAAACTATTGTTCTGGTTTGTGGAAGTCAGTTTAATTGAAGATGTCCTAGTCAACAGATATGCCTGCAGTGATATGGGCAGTTATTTGGACTTCTGCTGCATATCCCAGAAAACTTAGATACCATTTTTTTTTTAACTACAACAGCACTAGGAACAATACTGCTTACACAGGGTACTCTGGTTTCTGAACACAGCAGGTAGATCTGAAATTATCTCATCCCTGTGGGATTCTGTACTGTAATATGTGTATATACATATGTATTTATTTGAGCAGCTTTTACTGTGGATATTTCTGTACTCTTAACTGTATATGTATTGTAAAATACTTGTTCTTGAGTAGGTCTCTGGCTGTTCAATTGATCAGAATTTATTTGAAAATAAATTGGAAGTGTTTGTAAGGATTGCATGCCTGCATAATGTTTACGAATGAAATGGAAGACTAAGATTTGTATGTTTATGTATTGAAAATATGATTTTTTGAGCTGTTAGAAGTCTTAAAATGAGACTATTAATTTATGTTTAAGTTATGATTATAAATTAAAAAATTCTCATTTAACCTGATATGTATTGTCCTATTTGTAATATTTTTAATAAAATGTTTTCAATTTAACACTCCCTACTTGTAAATGTGAATAATTTAAATTATTTGGGTGAGCCCTGTCACTTGTGGCTTCAACAGAAGACTGTGAGGAGAATACTGGCTAAAAGCAAGGCTGTCCATTACTGGAGAATCACAGAATCACTGGGTTGGAAGAGGTCTTTAAGACCATCAAGTCTGACCCATTTCCTAACACCACCTCAATTAAACCATGGCACTGAGTGCCACAACAAATCACATCCAGGGATGGTGACTCGACCACATCCCAGGGCAGACGATTCCTGTACTTTATGACTCTTCCAATAAAACCCCTTTTTCCTAAGATCCAACCTAAATTTCCCTTGGAGCTTCCCGTATTTCCATAGCAGCCAGCAGATGGGGCTGACTGCCCGGGACTGGCACAGCCGGAGCCGATCCCAAACCAGCATCCCGGGTCTGAAAGGGAGGAGGAAGGAGCAGTGGTGTGTCCCAGGAGCCTGGGCCAGCAGCGAGCTCCGGCAAGCATGGGCAGGAGGCAGAGGAGCAAACAGTGCATAAGCAACAGCACAAACCCCTGAGCCCATCCAGGTTTTTGACACCCGTTCTGCTGGGAAGTTGAAAGAGTTAGCAGAGGTGTGGAGCTGAAAGCAGAGCTCTGACTGCTGCCTAGGGACCTCCATCCCACCCTGGCCTGGGTGCAGCCAAATGCTCTGCCATGGCTGCTGCTGGGGTCACCCTTTGCAGCCCCTGAGATAACCAGCTGTTATGGTTTTGTATGGGAGGCATTAAAGAAGTGGTATAAAACTTTTAGCTACTAGACAACTAGACATGTTTCTGTGAAAAACACGTGTAAAAGACAAAAGAAGCTCAAGAATTTTTTTTTTTTTCCTGACTTAGGAACAAGTAATAATGCTTGTTTCAGCTGGGCTGGGCCAGATAAGTCCTGTTGTGGAGCTGGGCCCTTCTCTAGGGAGCTCACTGAGCCTTGTTGGGTTTTATTCCAATTCTTATTACTATTTATTTTAATTACTATTCATAAATTTTTCTTTATACCCTTTTAAAGTTTTAAACCTACTTTACCTTTCTCCTAATCCTATCTCACAACAAAAAAGAAGTACATTAATAATTAACCAACACCAAACCCACCACGCTCTTTAGTGTGTTAACCACGAAATCTCAAAACGAACAAAATCTCAAATTAACAAACCAAAACCACTACACGAGGGAAGCTGCACTGTGCCAGACAAACTCTGAGGTGCATTCCTGCCCCAGCCAAAGCTCAAGAGAAGCCATCAGGCCTGTGAGGGAGGCAGTCACCTAAGAGGTGCTGCAGCACAGGGGACAGAGCCCATTGCTGTTTGCCCCAAAGCGATTAAAGAGCTGAGTGTGGCTGTCAGCACTTCCACTGCCTCGCCAAGGTGGGGCCCAGCCCTGGGAGCAGATGTAGAGCAGTAATCCTCAGGTTCCCTGAGGGACGCAGAGATTAACCCGGAACGCCCTGCTCTGAATCCCTGCAGGAGCTGTTTTGAGAGCTAAAGCACCACATGGATCCCCTGGCCTGCCCTTGTTGCTGTCTTCTATGTGCATGGCCATCCTCTGGAGAGAGCTGCTTATCTGGCATGGATGCCACCCTGCTGCCTAGGACACTTCAGCTTCTCCTTTCCTGACCAGAGCTGGGGCTTCTAGCAGTTTTCCCTGGGATCTTACAGGGGCTTTATTGCCAGAAAAGGGACTATAAAATTATCCCTCTTCTTTCTTCAAGCCTTGTGACTTCTAGAGGCAATGCTCTTCTAGTGAGATCACATTTGGGTGGGATTCATCCTCTACTTCTCCCATGCCAGACAAAGACTCTCTGAAGGGGATCTCCTTCCTTGCAGTGACTCTCAAGTTACATTTATCCTCATAATTAATGTTGGTCCAGCACACAGGCAAAAACCCAGCCTGTGCTCATCTAGGTTCCTTGATTCTTTATCCCCTCCTGGCACAGTTTTTCCTGCCTCAGGATATGATTTCCCAGTTAGGATGGCACGGTGCATCCAGGCCTTGAGGAGCTTCAGGAAGTCATTTTATTTGTAGTGGATGTGTCTCTGCCAGTGCCTGGGAACACAGCTCTTGTTTGTATGTGTGTCATTCCAGTGCTGGCAACAATGGCCATGGGAATGCTGTCTGCCAGGCAGGCCTTTAGTCATCCATTGTGTCACTGCTCCCTGTGCAGTGCTGGGCAGCCACTGATGGGCCACAGGACCCTTGCTGGAGGGACTTTCCTTATTTCCTGTTGTTCTGCTTCCCTTAAATTCCTCATCTCTCTCCGGGCCCATGGCATTGTTCAGAGTGGGCTGGCATCTTGTTTTGGTGTCTGCTTGTGCTGTGACCTATGGAAGCTGTGAAGGTGACATTAACTGCGAGGCACACATGTCCTTTCACGGCTTTGTGTGTTTGCTGCTTGGCAAGGGGATGGAGTTTGTGGCGTAACTTAGCACATTCCTGATGAACCCAGCTACCCGGGGTAGCTTTTTCACTTCTGCAGGCTGACAGACTGGGGGAGTTAGAAACAAAATTCCACCGAAAGTCTCAGACAGGCAGTGTTAGATTTGGGGTGAGTGTTTCTGTGGGCCTTGGTGACACAGACAGTGTAAGACACAGATTGGGTTTGTGCCTTCTGTTTTTATAAGCCACCAGCCACCAAACAAGCAGTCATTCACCTGGGCCTGGCTGAAGCTGCCTTGCAAAACTCCAGTTTTTAAGGAGTGGGCTGGACCCAGCATTTGGCCAGTATTTCTCTTGTGAAGATAAGCCACTGCTCTGAGCTCTGGAGGCTGCACATCCCTGCAGGGATTTTGTGCTGTGCTGAGGGCTGGCACAAGGACTCTGGAGCAGCAGCTCCTGCAGGATTGGTGTCGTGATCCAGTCACCACAACCTGCTCTGGGAGCTGTCAGAGGATATTGGGGCCAGGAGGCCAGGCTGCAAGCACCGTGTCCGTGCAATGCAACGTTCTTGGGCCTCTGTGAGTCTGGTTTCTGTCCTGAGCCTTGCTGCTGTTTGGATTCCTCTGGTTCTTGCAGGGGGCTGGATCCTCTCCCTGCTCGTGTGTGGCTGGTGGTGGGTGTTTGGTGAGGGGTCTGCAGCCCATGCAGACCTAGAGGAGCAAATGGTTGTGACGAGCTCTTGGTCAGGGACAGAGAAGCCCACAGGTTTGCTGCTCCCTGGGAGCCGTAACTCACACCAAATGAGAAATTCAGCCTGGGCCTGCCCAGCCACAGGCAGAACAAGTTCCTGTTGGCACTAGGCAAGAGGAGCTTGGTGGAAGGCAGGGAAGCAGCTCCCAGAGCCCAGCCTCTCACAGCATTTGCACAGTTATCCAGTGGAGCTCCCTAGCCTGGTTTATGGCCACTCTCCTGCACACCTGTAGGAAGAAACAATCAAAATTGCAGGTTAGATTTGACCAGTGGAGTCAAAACCTGCTGGATGGTTTTTGCTACTCACCTGGCACTATTAAACCTCACTTAGAAGGGACACACACTTGGCCAATGTAGTTCAGCTGTGGCTCCACAGAAAGAAATCTGCAGCCCAGAAAATGTTTCCACAGCTGATGATGGCCAGT